ATATAAAATGTTGAATTAAAACAAATTTGGTAAACTTTCATTCAAATCATAATACAAATAAAAAGGTTTACAGCCTTTGTTGTTATTGTTGTGTGCTGTTGATTTGCCTATGACCCACAGTGATCCTATGTACAGCAGCTCTGAACCCTGTCCTGTCCTGAGGCCAGTCTCACTGATTCAGACACACCAACCTCCATTGTCCCAGTTACTGTATCAATCCATCTCATCCCGGTCTTCCTCTCCTATGCTGCCCATCCACCCTTTTGAGCATGATGTGCTTCTCCAAAATCAGTCCCTCCAGACCACATGTCCAAAGTATGAGAGAGAGAACTTCAAAATCCTAGCCTTCAAGGAAAAACCTACTTTCACCCTCTCCAAGACAGACCTTTGTTTACAGCCCCAGAAACAACATAAAGCGATTTTACTGTCCTTTGGGCTGCTATGACTTAAAATCAACTCAATGATAATTCTACTGAGTTATTACTGCTGTTACTAATATTATTATTCTGTCAGTCAGATTTCATCATAAACTGTGACAAGTCCAAACTGTGCCCGTCTATTCCTTCACTTCCACCTCCATTATATATCTTGTAAATATACTTTCCATACTATTTCTTTTCATTTTTGTTATGTTGTCTTTAGCTGAATGCTGTTTTTGTTGACTTGTTTCATGTTTTATATATTATAATCTGGATTTCTCGTTGCTGTTTTGTTTTGGAAGTAGTTTGTTTTGGGTTTTTTTTTCCATTATAATGCCTTGTTTTTCTTATAAAGCTCCTAAATTCAACATTAAAACACAAATACTCACTTTAATCCTAAAAGAATTACTATTTTTTGTTACAGTTGACTCTCTAATACTTATTTGTTCTGGGTAAAACAGGTGAGGGGAAAGAACTGATGCATGCTATAAAGTGTGTTGTTGTATACTATCAAGTCAGAACTGACCCACAGTTGGCCCTATGGAGGGTTTTCAGAAGCAGTAAACTGCATGAAGGGCACTGCTCACCTTGCTCCAGCAGAGTAGTGGGTGGATTCGAACTGAGTTCTGCATCAGAGCAGTTACTTACCAATAAGCTACCATAGCTACAAAGTATGCAGACCCTGAATATAATTAGCCAAATGAAATAAATAATAAACAAACCAAACAAGAAACCAAACAAAAACCAACACTGGAATAATTCCACTTAAATGCACTATGGAGATAAGACAAATTCAGAGACAGGAACTAGGTTACAAAGTTACTAGCACTGGGAGCAGCCTGGAGTGGAAGATATAGTCTAATGTATACAAAGTTTCACTGTAGTGTTGTTAGATGTCATCCAGTTCACTACAACTCATAGTGCCCCTATGAACAAGAGATGGAAACCTTGTCTAATCCTGTGCCATCATCAACATCTCTGCTTTGTTTAAGCCCACTGTGACATAACTGTATCAATCCATCCTGCTGAGGTTCTAGAAATGACTGTGATAATTACACAATATAGTAATGTAAAATAAGGATTTTTGTGTTACATGTAACTAAAATTCAATTTTTAAAAAATAAAACTCTGGCATCAAATTAAATGTCTGGATACCCCTCACATTAAGTCCTTAAAGAGCTGATAGCAAACATGAATGAGGACCGACAGGTACCATTGCTGATCAGGGAGTCACACTACTATCATCTGCAGTCTTCAGTGTGAGGAACTCGCTCTGCCTGGAGGATCATATTTGCACTCATTGTACATTTTCTCCATAACATCTGTAACATCAAATAGGCAATTTCCATGGATTTTTTTTATGAATGAAATGTCCACAGAAAGATGATTAGAATGCCATGAGGCTGTTTCTGATTCTAAACACACTTTCATGAATTGTGAAGTAGAAGGGGGAAATTCACATGACTCTATACAACAGTAATTTACCCACCTCTCATGGGGCTGTTAACGAGCAGCACTGTACTGCAAGAACAAGGCTCTTTACTAAACCTTTGATAGGCTCATGATTAGTAAGTGTGTGTTACATACCACTTATACTTTCATGAAGGTGGAAAATCCCAGTACAAGAATGTATTCAACCTACAGCCCATTTGAATTAGTTTGCTGTTCTTTACATTAAAATTCTGTGGAGATATTATACATAAAGTCCAGCCCAGATCTTTAGGACAAAATTCCCTCTGGGTCACCAGCTAATAATTTTTTTTCTCTTAAAAAAAAAGAAAAGGATACAAAACCATAAATTTCATATAAAATAAAAAAGAGAAACACTAGCCACACACAGCCCATATTATGTAATATCTGCACACAGATAAGTACCTTCTGACTTTCTAGCCAGCAAACAATAACCATAGACATTAAATAAACTATATGGAACCAAACCATGCATTTATTGTTTATATCACAAATATTTAAAAAATATGCTCAAAAAATAGCAAGATAGACAAACTACAGGCAAAATTTAATACGCTATGTTTCTAATAAATATTAATGAAAGTTTTTTCCTAAAAATATATTCTTTGCATCATTAACTTTAAACAAACAGCTAATGAAACTCTAGCTTAAACAACAAAACAGTAACACTGCAAATAATTCTTTTCTTCCCTCTGTAATCATTATAGTCTGTTAATTTACAAAGAACATTAAAAGCCATTTAATAGGATTATAACAACTTTTGGTTTTAGGGACCTCTGGTGGCTTAGTTGAAAGGAAGTGGGGCTGCCAACACCAAAGGCTTAAGGTTCAAACCCACCAGCATTTTTAAAAGAAAAAGATAGGCAATCTCCCCACGCACAATGTATTGCCTCTAAATACTCGCTGGAGGCTTAGGTATGAGTTGGCTCTGATTCGATGGTAGACAACAACAGCACAGCTTATAGAGTAAACTGAAAATTAGCAATATGATATTTCGGTACATAAAACCATCACAGAACTATTGCTAAAGTTCTTGTCTCATATTTCATTTATTCTCATGATAAGTGACTAAATGAAACAGACAGGCTGATATCATATTAACTTATTTCCAATATCAAGGAAACTATTAGCATCTGATGAACTAACTCATCCTTAATCATTTCTAGGGGAAAAAATACAGTTGCATGGTCTAACAAAAGCAGTTACCTAGTATAATTTTCCATCCAGAATCCAAATCTTCAAACTGCATACAATATGTAGATAGGATTTAAAGTTCCCACATCCTGCCTACATCCATATGCAAAGTTACATCAAACTATTAGGAAATATTTTAACATTTACAAATGCCTTAACCTCCCCAAAAAGATTTCTGTCCAGATCCAGCTCTTACCTAGAATGGGCAAACATTTCATTATTTCAATCGGTGTAGAAATAATAAAATAAGACTCTAGTAGATGACTTCCCAGTTGATCTAATGCAGAATTCTTTAAGACTAAAAAAGAGGCAACTTTACCCAATTTTCCTTCCCTTCATACTGTGTTGTCACAGATACATATAACTGCCATCAGAGGTGCACAATGAAGCACTGTCTGCTACACCAGAAAAAAGGCAGCTAGCATTCACTGCCCATCAGGATGTCTACACACCTTCTCCCTGATGCAATAATTATTCTCTCAGCCACAGAGTTGTCACCTCACCTTTAAGGATGCTGAGCAACAGAGAGAGAGAAAATTTTTGGAGAGCAGGTCAAGTCAGTGCACGGCTCTTCGCCTTTATCCACAATCAGCTCTGACCCTCCCACTGAAGCAGTAAATGCAAACTCATCCTAGATCTTCAATGGCTTATGCTCACCTTGTTGGGTACCATCGAGTCAGAACCAATCCATATCTCACCCTCTGGCAGGCTTTCAGAGGCAGTTTACTGCATGGGGGCGGGGGGGAGATTGCCCATCCTTCTCCAGTGGAGCAGCTGGTGGCCTTGAACTGACTGTGTGCCTTTGTGATTGCAGCACTGTTTCTTGCCACTAGGCCACCAGAGCTTCCTTTACGCCCCGAAAAAAAGGTCTTGGTTTCAAGGCATGACTTTCTTTTTATCATTGCTAAGGTCACCACAGGGAGCACTGGTGGCCTCATGACAAGAAGCTGTGCGGCAAACTCAAAGTTTCTAATCCACCAGCTGCGCTGCAGGAGAAGGATGGGCCATCTCCTCCTGGCTGATGTAACTGTGTCTGAAAACTAACCTGGAGGGTCAAAGCTATAGGTCACTTCTGACCTGACAGCATACAAGAACAAGGTCAACCACAGGAATCCTGCCAATAAGGACTCTTAAGTAACATACTAAATAAAAATGCCACCAGCATAAAAGGTAACAAAATAAACATCATTGCTTCTCTAAATTACTGAGGTTGCTGATTACAACCAGCATGAAGCTCTCCATGAACCACTCTGAAGAATACTCAATATTCAAATGCATCTTGATTGTAGCAGCTCAGAATCTAGAAGTTTGTTGCTGATCACAGTTATCAAATGCATAAAGCTCTCAGACCTGTTCTTGAAAAAAAACAAACAACAACAACAAAAAAAACCCAACACAAAACCCACAAAACCAAAATGTTATTCTTAAAAAAAAAAAAAACAACTCAACAAAACAAAACCACAAAACAGCCCAAACCTTAGAAATATGAACATTTAGGGGGAAACAGAGCAGAGTTTTCCAGGAGTGGCATCACAAAGTCACTTTTTATACAGCAGTATCACTTCTCGGAGCTGCAAAGCCATCAATGCCATGCACCAGGAATCCTAAATGTTTAGATAAAACCACCTCTAAAAATTAGTATAGACGCTATCAAGTCATGGGTGTAAGCAACCGAATGTAGGCAATGTCTACCTTGCTCTTACTGCTGAGGTAAAATCAGCAAGAAAGTTTGACTACCCCCATTTATTTCATTGCTTTTCTACATGTATCACTTGAGGAAGGCAGATACAGTACAGTTAGGAGGCACTGGTGAACTAGGGTACCCAACACGGCCGCCACAAAGTTGATTTATACTCGGATCTTAGAGGAGGGGAAGCCACAAGTTCCCTCTTCGCAGGAAAGTGAAACTATTCTTACCTTTCTGTACACCAGCATGTTGGGTGATTCATCTGCCACCCCATTGCTGGTCTGCCCGTAATTATTCCCCTGGGCCATGTCGCCTCAAGCTCCGAGAATCTCAGGTACGGGATTAATCAGCTTTTCCTGCAAAGGGTTAGGAAGACATCGCTGAGACCCTGCGGATGGTACCTGAGGGAGGCAACACCCCGGTTCCTCAGGAGCAGGCTTGCATCCTAAGGCTGGCTCCAAGGAGTGACACAGGATGCAAATTTAGATAAAAACAAAACCGAGCCTGCACACACGATGCCCACGAAGAATCCTAAGGAAATAGTCTTTTGGCTGTGAATGAAGCCGACTTCATTTTAAAAATGAAAGTGTTCATTCTGAAAAGTGTTTGCTGCTCCCCTGGAAAGCAGTCAGCATTCCCCGACGAGGGAAGCGGCTCAGGCCGCCCAGGTGGGGCAGCTCCCCTGGATGCTGGTCTCCCAGGAGGGAGGAAGGGAGCACCCCGGTGCGCAGATTTCCGCTCAGGTGTCTGCCCACCTCCCCACGGGCGCGGCACAAGGAGGCTGGTCTTCAGCCCTCCCCGCTAACACCCCGTCCCTGGGTCCCCAGCCTCCCACACGGCCGGCTGCGCTGCGCCCACTGCCACCTGCCCGCACCCCAGTCGCCAGCCCGCGCCGCTCGCCCACTCGGCCCGGGGAAGCCTTCGGCGGGGAACACCAGGACGTGGCCGGCCGCGGGACCCAGAGAGGGCAGTCCCTGGGCGGCTGGCGCCCCAGCCCACAGCCCCGGCCGCGCGCAACGAGGCGCGGAGGAGGAAGCGGAGCCCGCGCGGGGCAGCCCGCGGAGCGCAGAATGAGCGCAGGACGCAGACCCGGAGCGGGGTCGGCCGTACCCTCCGCCCGCGCGCTGCCGGCGCCCAGGAATGGGGGTGGGGCGGCGAGCGGCCCAGGGCTCCCCCCACCGCCCGCCTCCCCAGTTACCTCCGCGGCCAAGGTCACAGCCTCGCGACACTGCTCCCGGCCGGCAGCTCCCGCGCTGTCTCCGCGCTGTCAGCTGGCGGCG